ACAAAGGAAGTAAAAGGTCTATAGAGTGAAATTACAGTACTCTGAAAAAGGAGATAAAAGAGGATATCAGACAATGTAAAATATCCCTTGTTCATGGATAAGAAGAATCAGCATTGTAAAAAATGACCATACTCCCAAAACTTATATAGATTAAATGTAATCCTGATCAAAATACCATTACCATACCTCACAGATTGGAAAAGCATTCCTAAACTTCATTTGGAAACTGAATAGACCTAGAATAGCAAAGGCAATCCTGGGCTACAAAAGCAACTCCTAAGTAGAAATTACACTACAAAAATACTGTAATAGTATCACATGCTACTGGAAAGAGAGACAGACCTGAGGATCATTGGAACAGATTGGAAGATGCAAGCAAAACTACAAACACACTCAGCCACCTTATCTCTGCCAAAGGGGCGAAATATGTTCAGTGGAAGAACAATAGCCTCTTTAATAAATGGTGCTGGAAAAACTGGCTTTCCACATGCCAAAGACTGTTAGATCCATGTCTATCACTATACACTAAAGTCAAAATGGGCCAAAGACCTAAATATTAATGTAGAAATACTAAATCTACTGAGGAGAAAGTAGGTAGAAATCTTGAATACATAGGGTTAAGTAGAGAGTTTATGGGGGAAAAAAAACCCTGCACTGGAGGTACTTCAAAGCATCATCAACTGGAATCTCATCTTTTTTTTAAAAAAAATGTATTTGTTACAAGGTTTCACTACACAGCTCAGACTCATGGTGATCTTCCTGCTTTCAGTCTCCCTAGCATTGGGATTATAGGCATGTGCCATTACACCCAGACTCTGGCCTGGTCAACCAGCCCTGGGGGAGGGGGATGACGTGGCATGTTGTGCCAGGGATCAAACCAAAGTCTCCACACTTGCCTAAACAGGAGCTTTAGTCCCCTGAGCTATCTCGCCAGTCCCTAGGATCTTATTTTATTAAAAAAACTTTTGCACATCAAAAGAAATTACCAACAGAGTGAAAAGAAAACCCACAGAGTGGGAAAAATCTTAGCTAAATGTTCCGCAGACAAAGACTTTTACCTAGAACATAAAAAGAACTGAAAAACAATCAGGCCTTCCAAATTCAAAAACCTAATCCAAAAATGACCACCTGAGATTAATACACACTTCTGAGATGAAGAGATACAAATAGCAAATAAATATACGAAAAAAATGTTCAACATCACTGGTCATTTGAGAGATGAAAATTTAAAAAAATGCTGAGGTTTCATCTCACTCCAGAAAGAATATATATTATCAAGAATTCAACCAATACTAAATTCTGGTGAGGCTGTGGAAAAAAAAAGAACCCTTCTCCACTTTTGATGAGAGTATAAATTGATGCAACCACTGTGGAAATCAGTGTAGAGATTCCTCAGAAAATCTCGAATTAGAGGTCCCATTCAACAGAGCTGTTCCCTTTCTGGGTATTTTCCCCAAAGGATTAAAAATTTCATACCACAGTTCTCTATGTGCACACATATTTATAGCAGTTTAATTATGTAATAGCTAAAACTTGGAAATAACTGAAATGACTATCAACTAAAGTATGGATTTAAAAAATTGTGGTGGCTTTCTACAATGTAGAATTACTCTATTGTGAAGAAGGGTAGCTTGAGGCTTGAAAAGGTAAATGGATGCAAGTAGAGACCATACTGGTAAGTAAAATAAATCAGATCTGCATGTGTAAACATTGTATTGTCTCCCTAATGTAATAAGCTGAAACTGTGAATATGATCCAAAGTGTGCAGTGGATATTTTGAAATAGTCTAATGTTGCTCAAAAGGAAAGAGAGGGCCAGGGAGATAGCTCAGTAGAATAAGCACTAGGGCCTGAACTCAATCCCTAGTTCCGATAAATAAATAAATAAATAAATAAATAAATAAATAAATAAATATCACTTCATGGATATGTAAGTTTTTATTTTCTACTTATTAATACAGCTCACTACATTATATTTCTGTCATTCTTATACTGATGCACACACAAGCACACACAGATACAATATTAGATGTAAAAGGCGAGTTAAATTTCAAAGATCAAAGGCTTTATTTATATAGATTTTGGTTTTTAGAAGTGAGTTGTATTCAGTTGCAACTATGAGGCAAGATAAAGGTTGAACTTAAAGTATTCCAGAATCTGCAAAAGTAGTTGTTTGAATCATGAAGTATTAAAATTGCCACAAAAGCATATTTTATGACATGTTTTTAGAAACTGAATGAGCATATCTCTTCGAGGTTGAGTCAAGGCAGTGATATTTGGTTTACCTAATTTATGGTTTGGCCACGGGGCCAGGGCACCATGACTATTAGCGGCTCATCCACATTTGATGTGGAAATTGATACGAAAATGAATATCCCATAAATTTTTCTTAGAAAAAGGAGTCCAAATGTCTTGAGAAAATCAAAGCACAATGCCATTTATTTTCTTCATGGTAATCATATTTGTGATTTATTATGTGTGTCTAAAAAGTACCTAAAATATAAAACAAAGTTCTTATTAATAAATATCAACTCTTTTAGCACATAACAAACAGGTTTCTCATTTCTCACTAGCTTCCATATGAGTATATTGGTAAACTCTCTTTTGCATTTGTTTTTATTTCAAATACTAAAGTTACTTTAAATGCCATATAAATAATAATACTGATTATTAAGCTTATATGTAAAAACAAATAACCCATCTACACTCTGAGCATCGAATGACTACTTTGTGAATAAATGAGTTCTTATGGCTGTGCTGCAAATAGAAGAGCAAAGCAAAGTACTATTATATGTACAATAACATAAAATTTTAGTTTTCATGCTTTATGTGTTCACTGAAATGATGTGGGTATTTTTTATTAATTTATATGCTCTGCTATTTTTAGATGTGCTTATCACTGATGCAGACTCCCTTGATGGAAGCTGTTTATTTCTGCAGTAGAAAAATTGCTCAATGAGAGTGATTTGTAATTTCTGTAATTTTCTTTTTCACTGTAACCTGTTAGGAGCCTACTTCAAGATCTCCTTCTGACTTGTTGAACACTGGGAAAATTGCTTCACACTCTTCCTCAGCCTAGCTTTCCTTCCTACGTAGAATGAGAACATTTAGCTCTACTTATCTCAACAGGGAATGTGTTTTATTAAAGGCCTATTAGCTTTTTGATGTATAAAATTGTAGTTTTGATGGCGTTTGCTTTACTATAGCACTTGGCATCAAATCCCCTTTTGAAATCTCTATAAATGCCTTCTCTATAAATGTGCTCTACAAGGACAAATGAAGAATAGTCACGCTGCCACAAAAGAAGAAACTGTCTTTATTCTAACGCAGCTGAAGCTAAGTAGGTTCTTTCTTAAGGACAGCTGATATTTTTAGGCTTCAAAATAAAATGAAAGTGAGAAAACTATAAAGAGAGTGGGATAAACACAATTATTGTAGAACTTATATCCTACTATAACCTATGTGAAAATAATATAATATTTCAGTCTATTTAACATGTTTAACAATTGTAGAATTCATAGAAGCATTTCAATTGAGAAAGAGGTAGATAAAAAGGATAGTTTAAAAATCAAAGAAATTTGTACATTAAAACTCTAGAATTGCTGAGACTTTTACTAATACTTCATCCCTTTACCAATATTATTCATATATAAAGATTAAGAAAATTAATATGTATTTTACAGTGAGAAACAAAAGAACATTCTTAATGTATGGCATTTTCTGTGGAACAAATAAACAGATTGGCTTCAGCACAAAATCTGCTACCCTTCTCATGCAGTTGTTTAGAAAAATGTTTTTTCACCGTGGATCCCAAATCTAACCATTAACAAAGGTATCTTCTCCTAGGAAAGTGTCATAGAGAGACAGGATATGAAAAACATCCATGGGGGAAAGACAGTAAGATACCTAAGCTTTCCTGGGCTCTCAGTCGATTATCTGGACAAGCTGTTCCTAAGACTTCCAAATTTAAGTGAAAAATGAAAGCATGCCTTATTGCTGTTCCTTATATTTTGTTTGAAGGTTCTTATGATTCATGGAGTAACATATTGATGAATTTTAATCTCAGAAAGGAACTTACTGCTGCAAATAGTTGTGCTAAATACTACTGGGTACACAGTCGCTCCAGTCACTGTAAGAGGACTTTACCTTGTGACCCAGTTGTTGCCTTGTGACCTGAAGTACCTCTTCCCAGAGGAAATGAACAGATATTCTGTATGTCACATCTAAGTCTAAATTTTAAAGAGACCATGATTCATTTCATGCACTTGCTCTTGCTCCTTGCCATTGAAACAACTCTGTCCTGGGCAGGGTCTGTACCTTCACAATGAGTCCAGGAATGAGAAGACATACAACAGAACCAAGCAGAGTCCAAGAATGCTTCACAGACCCAGCCAGACTACAATAGCATCAGAGAAATCATCCAAGGCAATCCACTGAGCTAGAGCAGTTATTCATTAAAGTAGCAAAAAATATCCACTTCAGAAAATAGCTGCTAAGCCTTATGGCTTATTGAAAAAAATTGCCTAGTGTACGTGACAAAGAATTTTCTGGGCAGCAGAAAGAAATAGGATTGGTTTTGGAAAGAAAAAGTGCTATAAAGTGGTAAACTATTTTGTAGTGCTTGTGTTTGATAGTTTAGGAGGCAGTTCATGTACTATACAAGGTTGTGGCTTTGGGCCAAAAGGTTTCAAACAGTTATGGGCATGAGTTGGATGCTTTTGACTGCATTTGAAAGGCATTATAAGAAATGGTGTTTGACTTATTTGTCTGTTTTAAATCTTTTATATGATAATTAACTTTATAAGATGTTATAAATAAGTGAATTTGATGCTGGAAAGTAAAACAAGGGGTGGAGGGAAAGGGAAAAATTAAAATGGTATTGCATGCATGTACCAATTTCCCACAGTGAATGTAATCATTATGTACCAAAACATTTATTAATAAAACTAAAAAAGATAAGAAAAAAATCTGAGGTCTTTTAGAGATGCAAAGAAATAGTCTGTGCTTGCTTTGACAGCACATATACTAAAATTGGAATGATACAGAGATTAGCATGGCCCCTGTGCAAGGATGGCACACAAATTCATGAAGCAAAGAAACAGAGATTCTAATATGCCCTCAGTTATGCAATTGGAGCATAGACTTATTTCTCAGTTCCAATCATAAAACGCCATATGAAGAAATATTTTGAACTATGATCTCAGGATAAATATTATACATCACTATATTTTTAGTTAAGATTTTAGTGGATTAAGATGTCTTCAGGTGGACAAAGTGGCATAGGGAGAAAAGGACATAATTCCAAAAATTTTGAAGGGATCCAGGTCCCTGAAGTTAAGCCAGGAGAAAGAGCAATGTTTTAAAGGAAGAGTGGACATGGTGACTACATTTAGAACTGACTGTAATAAGGTTAAAAAGTATTAGAGCTGGACATGTAGCTCAACTAAACAGTACTTGCATGAGGCCTTGGGTTCAGTCCCCAGCACTGCAAAGGTAAATACACAATTATTAATAATGAAAAACTATCCCTTCCCCAGGAGAACTTCATGCTGGGAAAAAGTAACAAAAGCTTGGGACAAAAACACCATCTGTATTCAAGACAGCAGTGGACTCTAAGGGTCAAAGTTTATTGAAAGATAGAAGGAAGTATTTGAAGCCCAGCAATCTGAAATTAGTCACAGCAATCTGAAATCTTTAGCTCATCACACACGTTAATCCAGAGCCAGCAATGATCTTTTACTGGGCCAGTATTCTCTTCCTTTGTTCATTATTTTCTGTGGTTTTGCACTCTATGCTCTCTGAAGTTCCTTTCCTATAATTCTACTGGCTATATCTGGAAAGAACAATGAACAAACTTGAAATATGATCACTGGTTTCATCTCCATCTCCTTTCGCTGTCCTCCATAATATGAATGCTGTCTTCACATGGAGCTCCTTCATCAGTCCAGCTTCTAATAGGAGAAGACAGTGGTGAGTTGCATCCAGGACTGGCTTGCAGCTTTCCTGTAATGCAGTGAGGACTAAAGCATTGTTGAACCACTTACTAAAATTTTGGACTTGTTTATTACTCCAAGCTGACTAAGACATCATTTTTCTATTTTATTTACAAGCAAATTATTATACCCCTTCCATTTTACACATTGTAAAACATGTTCTAAAGTGAATACACAATCCTGGTTCTTTAAAGGACACAAGTTGCATGTTCTATACCATAATCACTACCACCTTAACTACACCAAATTATCACCAACTTCCTAATTTTCACATTAAAAAAATTGGTTCCCAGCTGCAGACAAAAAAGCTTTTCCAATTAACTCAGTGAATAAATGTGAACTTACTCATGGAATACATAGAAAGTGGAAGTGGAGAGAGAAAGAACCCAGCAAGAAGGCCTCAAACTTAAATAACAGCACATAACTTTTTACTCAGTTGTCTATGTGAAGATAACCAGTTTGCATTTGAGGCAGGAGGTTTGCTGCAAGCTCAAGGCCAGCCTGCTATAAAGTGAGTTCAAGCCAGCCTGAACTTCATAATGAAGCTCTTTCTCAATAAAGACAAAAGTCCCCAGGAAATACATCAATTAAAAAGGAAAGATTAATATCAAATTTATCCTTCCAAGATCCCTAGATGTTGTTTTCCTATGGAGTTTCCTATAATGTAAATAATTATTGCATTTTGTGATTCCTTCTGACTATATATTAATTTATCAGCTCAGAACTTTTTGTCTCAATGAAAATATTACGTATAGTTGTGTTTTTCTGTCTGACATATAAAAATTCCCAATGAATATTTGTTCAATTCAACTGGACCTATAGCAAAATCTTTAAATATTATATAACTTAACATCAATATTGTTTTTAAAAGTACTTGGCTAAGTCAGGGGTTGGCAAATTACTGTGTGCAAGCCAATTCCAGTCTTCTTCCAGTTTTTATATATCCCTCAAGCTTGAATTGGTGAATACAAAATAAAAACAAGAATATTCAATTGAAGTCCTCTAATAACAGCTAACACTACAATATTTACTATCTGGCATGTTACAGGAAATGTTTGCTGAACCGTGATCTAAATTCAAAGCCTATTTCCTAGACTTAGTCTTAGGCATGCAGGAACATATGCAATAACATATGTAATAATATTGTAGATTAAGAAGCATATTACAAATAGAGAAAAAATGCACATAGCAAGAGGAAGTTTACTGGGAATTTCTGAAAAATTGATTTATAATGTTAAAGTAGGGTGAGGAAAAAGTAGTCTTTCTCTGTTCAACAGATTTTGGACATTGTGTAGAGATACAATGCCTGAAGGTGTTTTCAGTAGCCTTCAGCCTAAGAGGGCATAAGCCTTATAATAAAAGATGATACTGAGGATTTTAAAGAGGAAAGATGGCAAATCCTGACTCCTTAATGCTGTCCTGACACCTTCAATTTTTTCAAACACAGAGGTACTATAATTATGTATCCTGCTATAAGTAACATTTTAATTTTTCTTCTAATGTGTAAATTGGCTGATTCAAATTTTGTATTTCATGTTTGTGGAAAATATCCATATGACACTATAACTGGAATTTGGTTGTAAAGTAAAATAAGCACTCATATATATTTGAAATATTTGGCCAGTGTTTATAAATTACTTGGAAAATGCAAGGAAGGCTGTACAAATGAGCACCTCAGGTATTTTCATTCTGTATCAAGAAAGATTTTGTGTGGTTTATCTTATTGTCATATTGTAATACAAAGCAAGAAAAATAGCCATACCACCACCCAGTCCTTCCTACCTGCAACCTGAGTTCATTGTTGCACTTTTAGTTAATGTACATATTCTTTTCATAAAAGTTTTTTTTTTTTTAAACTGAGGGTAAAACGAGACAAGATGTGGGTTGGACATATCTCTGTAAGAGATGTTAAGTGGTGCTCAGAAAAAGCTGTTCTACATAAGAATTATATAATTCTTTATGCCTATTTTTAAAATATATTCTAATTTTTAAATGTTTTTTCACCATATTCTGTAGGGACTTAAAATTCAACATATCAACACTTGATGAAAAATACCTGTTCCATGTTATGCCTAAGATGTTTGATATTCAGACAGATAGTGAACTTACGCTTAACAGCCTAGGTTGTATGGTAATAACAATAAGCTTCTCTTCTGGAGGGTTAACAACCTAAGGTTGAAGACCAAAATTAGAGAAAAAGCAGGGCTGCAAGGAAAGCCAACATTTTGGCCCTAGCCTTCCAAGGTCAATTAAGACTCAGGACATATGAGAACTTGTATTGTAACGTCATGTAACTTGGTAGTATCACAAATTTTCTGATCAAGGAGATTATGGGGCCAAAGAG